TCTTGGACATGTACCCATCATGGCTGGTAAAAGCTAGTGGTGATGGAATGCAGGCTCCCCTGGTAGGCATTATAAATCTGTCCCTGAGTTCAGGGGTCTTCCTGGGGAGGTTAAAAGAGGAAGTGATTAGACCGCTCTTACAGAAACCATCTTTAGATCCCAATGATCTATCCAACTACTGCCTGTTGTCGAACTTATCATTCCTGGGTAAAGTTGTTGAGAGAGTGTTAGCAGAGATACTCCAGGTTTTTTTAGATGACACCGTGGCCCTGGATCCCTTCCAATCTGTTTTCTGCCCTGGCCATGGGATGGAAACAGAACTGGTTGCTCTCACAGATGACCTCTGCAGACAGCTGGATCGAGGTGAGTCAGCACTGCTGATATTACTTGATCTGTCAGCAGCATTTGACATGGTCAGTCATGACCTGTTGACACACTGCCTTACTGATGTCAGGATCTGGGTGACATCCTTTTGTCTCCTTTCTCCAAGGTCAGGGACAGAGGGTAACACTACGGGATAGGGTCTCACCATGATACCCACTGGTATGTGCAGTCCCCCAGGGGGCAATCCTCTGTCTTATGTTATTTAAAATCTTTATGCGCCCCCTCACCCAGCTGGCATGGAGCTTTGGGCTTGGGGGGTCACCAGTATGCTGATAATAGTTTTATCTGTTGGTGACTGGTTGGTTGGTTGAAGCAGAGCCAGCTGAAATTAAATCCATCAAAGATGGAGGTCCTGTGGCTGGGGCAGGGGGACATGGGGTTGGGATAACAACTCCTGGCTCTTGATGGTGTGCCATTAACACATGCATCATCCGTCAGGGGCTTGGGGGTGATTCTAGATGCATCCCTTTCAAGGGAGGCTCAGGTCTCAAATGTTGTTAAACTGGCATTTTGCCACCTTTGCCAAGTTAAACAGTTTGTTTCCTCCCTGTCTCCCTCTGATTTAGCCACAGTAACCATGCAATGGCCGCCTCCAGGTTGAAATACTGAAACTCACTGTATGCAGGGCTTCCCTTGAGATTGACCCGGAAATTTCAACTGGTCCAGAATGCAGCTGCACGAGTTCTGACAGGGACATCTTTCAGAGTACCTATGCAACTGGTGCTTTACCAGCTGCAATGGCTCCAGATTGAAGACCAGATCAAGTTCAAGGTTTTGGTGTTGACCTTTAAAGCCCTAAATGGTCTGGGACCAGCATATCTTTGGGTCTGCCTTTCCTGGTATATCCCCCAAAGAGCATTACACACTAGTGATCAAAATCTGCTGGTGATCCCTGGCCCAAAGAGTCACCAGGGCCAGGGCCTTTTCAGCCTTGGCTCCAAACTCGTGGTACACTTTTCTGGGAGGGATCAGGGCCCTGCAGGACTTATTACAGTTCCTCAGGGCCCGCAAAATAGACTCATTCCACTGGGTATATGGTTGCGGACAGCAATGGGCTCCATCTTGACTGTTTCCAGCTTGGATTGGCCTCCTCCCTTTCTCCCTCTGTACCTTTCCTTCTCATCAGACAACTATACCTTATCCCTCCTGAGATTTTATGCCATCTTTTAGCTGTATAGTGGGATGCATCTATTTATTATGTATTTTATTGTATTTTATGGTATTTATTGTGATTATGTATTGAAAATTTCAACTGAATGTTTTTACAGATGTTGACACTGGCTCTGAGCCTGGTCTCTAGGGAGAGCGGGGTATAAATTAAATAAATAAATCAATAAATATTATTTTTCTGACTTCTTTCAAACTAGCTTAATCTAAGGGGAAAGAGGAAGTCTGGCAAGCAGCCAGACAAAATTTCATCAACTGTGATGCTTTTTTCCTGTCACCTTTAGGGAAGAAATGCTTCCCTGGCATGGCATTAGAAGCAACCCCGGTGACCAGTACAACTGTTAATAAAATGAGATATAGAACACTGACTTGATCTGTTAAAGAATTATATGCATACTGCAAATACAATTCACATTTTATGGGAAAGTGTCAGCTGTTAGTACAGCTATGTTTAAAAACCCCTGAGAATGATGTACAAGTTAGGTAGAGACAGTATAAAGGAGCAGATTGCAATATTAGTTCTTCAGAGATGAACGGAAATGTTTTACTAAGTGGATGCACTAGCAGAATGCTTCTTTGGAATTTATCCTTTAAGTAGGGTTGCTAGCCCCCAGCTCGGGTTTGGAAATCTACCAGAATTTCAATTGATCTCTAGGCTATGTTGGAGGGTTAAATCTATTGCATTATATCCTGCTAAGGTCCCTCCCGTCCCTAAACCCTGGCCTTCACAGACTCGACCCCCAAATATCCAGGAGTTAACCAACTTAGAATTGACAGCCCTATCTGTAACCTTTAACCCCTGAAGGCTAGCCCCTCAACATGAAACAAAAGTACTTCTGTGCAAACTCACTGTGAAAATATTCCTTGGAAAACCAACATGTAAGTGTACTAGTAAGCAGACTGAATATGCAAAGCATCTCCATACTAAAAGTGAAGTCGGTGAGAACTTTGGATACTTAAATCTGGTGACTAGAGCTGTGAATGGTCAAGACAGATCTTTACACAAATGTGAAAAGGGCTCCAGGTTTGCAGGAAAATGTAAAATATATTTTAAAAATACATTGGTGGATTTTTAAAAAACCTGAAAATGATAAAAGCTTTAAGCAATGGATTCCCTCTGTGGCTGTTGCTAGGCCACCAGGATGATTATCTGCAAGTAAAAAGGAAGGGCAAGAGGACAGGGTCCTTTCCAGGCCTATTTCAACCTTTGAAGAAGACTCATTGGGACCAGGCTTGACTGTTAAGCACAGCTCCAGGTTAGGGAATTCCTGGAGATTTTGTAGGGGAGTCTGAAGAGTGCAGGATTTAGGGAGAGGCCCTAGCTGAATATAATGCCATAGATTCCAGCCTCCAAAGCAGCCATTTTCTCCATGGGGACAGATTTTGTCATCTGAAATTCAGTTGTAATACCCTAGGCCTAGAAGAAAACTCTGGGTAACTTGATACCAACCAACTTGTATGACTCAACTAGGCCTAGCTGCTTGCTACTGTTCAACAGCAGCCATCCTATAAAAGTGAGTGTGGTATAGGAGAGCTTCCAAGTAGTGGCCGAGAGACCCAAGTTTGAATCCCCATCTTGCTATGGCCGCTTCCCTCCACAAACCTCACCCTCCCAAGGCTCCACCCTTAAATCTCCAGGAATTTCCCAGCCTTGAGCTGGCAACCCTTAGTTGGGAGATCTGTTGTGATTCCAGGAGATCTCATGGCTCCACTTGGAGGTTTGCAAGCCTAGAGAAGGAAGCGAAAAAGGGGGAGAGTCTATGGGGGCTTTCAGGAAAGAGAAAGAGGAAATAGTGGTGGGGGGGAATGAGGTACCTCCTACAACTCCTTGTAGGTTCCCACTTGTTATTAGGGTTGCCAAGTGATTCTTCGCCGGGAGCGGGGGGCTCCCGGCCGGCTTCGGGTGTGTGTGCGTGCGCATCACCCGGAAGTGACGCAGGCACACTGGGCACGCTGGGGGCAGGGCCACGGCCATACAAGGGAAAACCATAGGGTTTTCCCTTGTATGGCCGTGGCCCCACCCCCAGCGTGCCCAGCGTGTCTGCATCACTTCCAGGTGACGCGCACGCCGTGGCGGAGTCCCCCCCAGGGCCCGATTCCACGGCTGTGGAAATCGGGCCTCTGAAGCGGGGGTTTACCCGCCCCCATTTGGGAGCCTACTTGTTATGCAAATATGCATATATAAGAAATATAAATGTATAAACACCATAGCTAAGTAAACCAAAAACAATCAGGGCTAACTCTAGCATATAACTAGACACCCAAAATCTTCTGTTAACCCTTTAGAAGAAGAAGAAGAGAAGAAGAGATTGGATTCACTACCCAAAGGTGTCTCAGAGCGGCTTACAAACTCCTTTCCCTTCCCCTCCCCACAACAGGCACCCTGTGAGGTAGGTGGGGCTGAGAGAGTTCTTCACATAAACTGCTCTTATCAGAACTACGGCTTGCCCAAGGTCATCCAGCCAGGTGCAAGTGGAGGAGTGGGGAATCAAACCCAGTTCTTCCAGATTAGAGTCCACGCACTTAACCACTACACCAAACTGGTGTATTTATTAATTTATCAATCCAGATGTTTGATAGTCATGCCTTTTGTCCTTCACCTTCATCTTTCATCTTACTCAGGCATTTTGAAATGTGAAAATCCCCGTGTGTTTTCTTCCATATGTACCTGGATGTGGGGAGGGGAAGCTATTGTAGGAAACTGGTATATGAAGCATCCATCTAAAAGATGCAGTTAATGGTAACCATGGGAAGTCAGGGCTGCCCATAAACTTTGTAAAGCCAGTATGTTGTTCATTTGAAAATTCACACACTTCCAATTTCATTCCTATCTAGACCTTCCAGGGTGCTCCTTATTTTGTTGGCTGTGCTTTCTCCATTAAATAATTCTACTCAAGGGGCAATATGATTCTATTTAGATAGAATTAAATTTGCATTAAAAGGGAGAAGCAGAAATAATAAATTCAGACTTTTATATCCCACTGTCCCAGCAATTCAGCTTCTACAAGTTTCACTACATTGTGTAATAAAACAACACTTAATAGATATAACTAACATTGCCAGTAATAAAATACTATAGGAACAGCAACTAGCTGGACAGTAATAAATTAGTAATAATTAAAAATATTGTTAAAATCTATGGGTTGAGTCCAAATGTTCTATCTCCAATGGTGGAGTTTTTCTCCAGGGCAAGGGGTTTTTCATTGGTGGAAAATGCCTCTTCCTCCAAAGAAAAATTAATTACCCTAGTGGAAAGCTCTGGCATTACAGGGATCAAATTTTTCATTCCAACCCTTGCACATTATGTCTTTCTTTAATAACTACCTATTTAAATAGTTGAAATCTTAATAAGTAATGTTAATAAATAAGAAATAAATAATATCTAGTGTATTTCTTCAGTGTATTTATAATAACTTTATTTTATTTTTCTTCTTTTCTTCTGTTAACAGAACTGGATGAAGAAGAGCCAACACCAGCAGGTAAGAACCTTTCCATTCCTGTTCTGCATGTTGAAGCTTGTTAATTCATTCCCTTTAAGCTGGAGGCCTCTGTTCCTACAGCTTCTTATTACCCTGGTGGGTTTGCAACTGCAGGAGGAAGACACAGACTCCAGAGTGTTACTCATACGAATTAAATGGATTACTGGAAGGCATTATTGCTACTATTGTGCAATATACTACAAAAGCAAATTGCGAAATTGAAACTGAATTAGATGCATGATCGGTGAATACATAGGAGAAGGCATGGATATGGGGCTTCCAGTCTCCAGGTGGGGGTCTGAAGATCTCCAGGAATTACAACTGATCACCAGACAACTGAGATCAGTTCCCCTGTAGAAAACAGCTGCTTTGAAGGGTAGACTCTTCTGGCATTATAATCCTGCTGAGGTTCCTCCCCTTCCCAAACCCCATGCTCCATAGGCTCTGCCCCTAAAATCTCAAGAAATTTCCCAACCTGAATATAAAACCACCAGAAAGTTATGTATGGCTATAGTCAGGGCTATTTGGGGGCAGGAACACACAGGAACGGAGTTCCGGCTGGCTCCCAAGTTGGCCACACCCAGCAGGAACTCATGAGCATAATTGGCCACACCCAACAGCAGAAACTCATGAGGATTGGCTACATTAGGGGTGTGTGGCCTAACATGCAAAGGAGTTCCTGCTATAAAAAAGCCCTGGGTTTTGACAACAAACAAGGTAAACAGAATAACAAACAAAAGGTGGGTGTGGCTGGATAACCACACTTCTGGTAACATGGGAGTGCGGCCTAATGTACTAATGAGCTGTGCTGTCAGTGGTGTGGCCCAATATGCTAATGTTCTGCTGTTGGGTGTGGCCTATTACGCTAATGAGTTCCTGCTGGGCTTTTTCTACGACAAAAAGAGCCCTGGCTATAGCAAATTATATGGTATCCATAAACAGGCAGTACGTAAACAGGCAATAACACATGCATCTAGAGTACAGATCTAAACCATTCCCCAGGTGAGAACACAAGAAGTAGTAGAGACAAAAAGTAACCCACTCAAGACTTTCATTCTTCACAATAGCAGAAGAGCTGTCAGCACAGTTGTGGGACTGTTCTAGTAAGTCCCTGAGGGCCTGTCCCCCAAATCTCTCTCTCTGCCTCAGCTTCTCCAGGTTGGTAACCCTAGCCTCTAGAGAACGAACCTCAGTAGATATATAATCATACCTGCTGTACTCTCTGCAAAACACTGGATAGCCCCCGCTCCTTCCTGGCTTTCTTCCTTCATAACTGGTTAGTGCTTTTAAGGCCACAGACCAAAAGCCCTTTGCCCTTTGCCTCTTGCCAAAGGTTCATGTCTCTGCCTAGGCAGAGTCTACAGTTCAGAGGCCCATGGCCCCTGCCTTCCAGCAGCAACAGTAGAGGGTGGGGCCTGCAATTAGTCCCAGGCAAACAGACCTTGCTCAGTGAGCAACAGACCAGACAAAGACCCAAATAGACCCAGACAAAAACATCACTCTCCAGAAGGGTCACTAGTCACCGTCAAACTCTCCTCTCACAAAGCATACAGAGGATTGGGCTGAAAGTGAAAGAATTATGATCCATATTTAGTTAAACCCTAATTGCCACATTTATTTATTTTAAACATTTATATTATGTCCCCCAGAGGCTCAAAGATGCTCACAAGTTAATATGTTTATAGGTATAACAATGAAATAGTAAAACAATAAAATATACACAGATGCTAGTGCCTAGTCATCATAGTTCAGTTCTTCATGGAGGATTATTAAAATAACAAGTCTAAACTGTAGTAAGTCCCATGTATATGAATCAAGCTCTGTGAAGTAATCGCAGGACTGCATGAATTTGCAGATAGATATAGTAGATGTAAATGATAAAGTTTCTCCTCGTCTGTACTACTTTATGTTGCAGCTGATGTGCGGTATTAGCTGAAGCATTTTACCAATCATATGCTCAGGCCAACCACTGTTTTTCTTAGCATAGCTCACATTCTAGCTCTTTCCCCTTTTCTCTTTGTCCCTCACACACCAATAAGTTTCAACCTTTCTAACTGCATTTTTATCTTAGTTCTGTGCTATATAGTAGTTCCATCATTTCCCCCTTCTTTTCTAATTACAAAAAAGTGTGTGTGTGTGGGGGGGTTATAAAAGGTTCCAGCAAATGCGATACTTACGTTCCATGTTAGTTTGGCAAGGTGGCCAGGCATATGCCATCCTGGAGTGCAATGAGGATAGTTCCATGGAATTTTTATGCTCCATCTCCCTCCCCCTGGGTGTTATAAAATTCAGTATTCAAGTCTGTAGAAATAAAGAAATGTAGCTAGTTTCATATAAAGCCTCTGGAAATGAAATTACACCTGCTCACTGAGGATTTCTCTTAAGCGCCTGAATCTGCTGGGTCATGTTTTGGGAAGACTATTATAATCCTATGAAATATCACAGGTAGGGATTTCCCTCAATACTAAAGGTGTTCATTTTTTCTCCACCTAATCAAACAATGGCATGGTACAATGTAATTCAACAATGCATCAAGAGTTCCACAGCCACAAAATGTGATCACCTATATGAGTTGGGTCCAGCATTAGTATTGGAACTGAATTCCTGCTGGGGTGTGCATTCTGTGCATTCAAATCTTCCCAAGCAGAAAATATACCTGAAAGATACCTTATCGGTATTTATATATATATATTTCAGCATCCCAAAAGTTAAAAAAATCCCCCCAAATTCCTGGATATTTTAGAAAACTAGGAAGATCAGGGAAACAGCTGAGAAAGACACCTGTTTCCTCCCATTCTTCTGCAGTCCATTTAAACCAGGGTGGTTTGAAAGGACTACAGAAAACATCAGGGAAACAGCTGAGAGACAGGAGCCACCACTCAGTTGTGCTTTGTGGCATTGCCACTCCTGGGTTATTTCCCCCCATTTTTTCCCATTTCAGGTCTATTGGACCTAAAAGAAAAAATGGGATTTATCTGACTACTTTGCCGGTATAGGGATCCAGGATTTTTTTTCAGAATCCCTCCCCCCCAATTGGGTCCAATAGAGCTGAACTGGAAAGAATGGGGGGGGGGGATGCACACCCCTAATTCCTACTAGTCCTGTTTTCCTGTATCTAATTATCCCTATGTTTTCTTCAAGTTTCCAAGGTTTCTCCTATATACAGATGTTTCAAGGGCATTACAAAGGCCCCAGATATGACTGTGTTATTGGGTCTGCCCAATATATATATTAGTGTTATGTTTTTTTAGATTATAAGAGGAAAGGAAGCCATTTGTGTTGTTGCCCAGCAACCAACCATTTGACAAGTTTCTTTGGGTTCTTTTATTTTAGTAAAAGTGATTTTGGGTTCATGTTCCTTGACAACAGAGGATTTACATGCATTTAAGGAGAAGGCAGCAGTGGAGAGTGGACAAAAGCAATCCCAGTTTACATACTGTAACCAGCTCAATAACTTTAGACGTTTGCAGCATATCAAATTTCTTCTCAGACAAATACCTGCTCTTTGAAGAAGAAGAAAAAAGTTAATCCAGAGTTATCCATCATGCATTCTTAAAACATTGGAGTTTGAAGTCATAGAACATGTAGTTTACTCCATAGTAACATGTGAGGCAATGAGAGGCCAAGAGGTTTCATTCTGGGGCTTGAAATATAATATATAAATAAATCCTTAGTTCTGCAGAAAAAGGACTGAAGGTCACAAAAAAGCCGAACTCTGCCATGACTGCTTTGCAAAGAAAACATAAAAATACCAATTGATTATTAATTAAATGCTATTTTCATAGTGTAACTTTTCAACAAGAAATGTGCTTGTCTAAGTTCTCAGAAATGTTCTTTGTAAGCCTCTATTGTGTATGAAATAGGCTCCGGTTCTTAAAATGTCTTGTTGAAAAGTTACTATATGAAAATAAAATTAAATTGGCAATCAAATGCTATTGGCATATTTTCTTTTCAAGGCAATTACTGCAGGGTTTCTCATATGATGCATAAATTGCAGCTATTCTATTTACTAAAAAGTTAATTTATATACCAGAATGACATCAATAATTGTAGATATTTGAATTTTTAGAAAATGTTTATCACTGCTATTTCTTTTTGCTTTAAGATATGACCAGATGTTATTGTTTTGAAAGGAAGAAGTTAGAATGTTCTTCTGGAAGTAGTTCTAATACTTATTTGCCAGATTGTATTGACATTTAAAACCTTTGCAGCTTCCATAGAACAGATAATCTCTCTCTGTAATAATTGCCTGGGGAACAAAATAGTTGAATTGTTGAACAAAATGCCTGGTATTTTTTTAGAGTTTGTAATAAATGTAAAAGGCTGCTCCAAAGGCAGAGGTAGATGCCAAGACATTTGATTGCTTTCCTGAAGTGTGTGAATTGGAGTAATAAATTTCATACTCATCCATGTTTATTGACATTTTCAAATTTTAATTAGTGTAGGAACCATCAGTTCAGTAGAACTGCAGTGTCATCCTAAGTAGAAGTACACCCTTCTAAACTCGTTGGTCAATGGGCATAGAGGGGTGTAACTCTGCTTAGGATGGATCTGTCATTCATGTGCTAGCATACCACCAATCTATTTCTACATTCCTGGAGAAGGAGTTTTTATCCAGACAGTCTATAGATGAAATTGCCCCAAAGCCTAGATCCGCCCACAGACTTTCAGCTAGCAAAACTGTGCAATAAAAATAACAACTAAATGTGTATTAAGGACTCAAATCCTTAATATACATTCATCCGGACCTTGTACCAAATGGTGGGAAATGGTGAATAGACTGAGCTGTACAGATAGAAGTTATGTCAGTTCTCAAGGGTTTCCATTTTCGCACATACACAATTCCCCTACTGAAATCAGTGGGACTAAAATTGTTTAACTTTGACTGGATTACTTGCATATTCAAATACTACAAAAGAGTAGCCATGAACTTAGCAGGATCCTTTCTCTTGTAACCAGAAGAGTCCATGGTATATCAGTCCAATGCCCATCTAGTCCAG